TTAGGTGGCTCGTCCCCACCATAGCAGTTGACTCCGGCTTCATTGACGGTGTCAATGGACTTTTTTTCGCGGTCTACAGATTTTGGGTAACGCGCTTGGAACTTTCCGGTGCGATACTCCGCCTTTGGTCCTTGCCCGCCCACCGATGACAGTAGCCTCCACTCAGGCCACGCACTTCATTCCCGATGTTCCTGCGTTCGGAGACCTCTCTTGCGGCCGCCGGGGGTCTGATTTACATGGGGGGTTTCAGCCCCTGACGAAGGAGGGTGTCAGTGATTCCGGCAAACACCGCTCTTTTATGTCACGTCTCGCCCGGCTGCCGCCTTCTCGAGCTACCTCCATCAATTTTTTCGTTTCGGGACTTTCTTCGAGCCGAGTTACTGAATTTTCGATCACGAACTGCGCCCGCTTGGGTCACTCCGCGCTGCGAGATAGATGGCCTCCAGTCTTCCTGCTAAAGGACACTGCTGAGGGTGTGACTAGGTTGCAACGGACAACTAAAAAAATTCGCCACCCCCCAGATAGTCTAAATCGGAGAATAGTTGAATGGATCGGACACCTTGTTTTTTGTGTAAAGGTTTTTTATAGAGGGACGGATTGTCCTACAGCATCGGGACCTAGATGGCTTTGTAGGAGCGAGCTTATTCAGGAGATATTTAGAGTTTTGGAGGGCGTGCTATGATTTTGCAACGCACTGTACGTTAGACCGCCGCTAGATGTAACGTGCCAGAGCCCTAAATGAAGTTCAGTTTGAGGACTGACGTAAGGAGATGTTGTAATTTCATTAGTTCTGAGAACTAAATGAAATTCGCTTTCATTAGAAAGACGACCATCATTACCTCTAACAGAAGGTACCAAAAGGTCAATCGACATGAAGAGACTTGGAACAAGTGATATGACGAGCGCGCACGCGGTCCTCATAATTTTGGCCCACCCTGTAGATAAAGATACGGTCGTTTTATTGGGAAGAACAGCTAACTCTTGTGAAAACAGTGGATGTGGCTAACATTGCTCGACAAAAGGATGAGCTGGTTGCAAATACTACCTTGGAGAAATTTTCGAGCAGTTAGAAATAAACAAATAAAAATTGCGTCCGTTTGCAAACAAAGGCACGTGTGATTGGTGCACAATTTATTTGGACAGTTCCGATTGCGAAACTACAAAACTGTTTCTTCGCCGCTGACTGTTGATCCCCGGGCTACGTTAGTTGGCTATGATCGGAAGCACATCTCCTTTGCTGCCATAATTGAGTTTTTCAACTGAAAAGTTCATTCACGATTCTTTAGACCTCACTGGCCGAACGACTCGAGGGGTGGGGGGCCCCAGAGGCGGACTCTGTACGGCTAAGATAAGAAAACTCTACTAAGGTAAGAAAAAAATATAAGATATGGGCATTTTAGCTAGGTGGGGAAGCTCCACCGGGCTATCTATCATAGTAATAGTGATATTTCTTTTCGAATTTCTAGGTTCTTCAGTGTGGGGTCAGGAAAATGGTAGTGGCCTCGATCAGGAGCAGAGTCCTTACGTGATCTTAAAAGAACTTCGGAGGCAAGATCCATGCGAGAAAGGTGGCGGGTGGTTCTATAGGTGGCCTTCATCCGATTGATATTCGAGGGTTGAGCCGACCAAAGGAGACGCGCGCTGAACTGGTTGTGCCCATAGTCATTGTAACAGAAGTCTCTTAAAGGCACTAAGCTCCGCTCTTTTGCGCTTCAGTCGCCTGTTGCTCCCCTGGTATCAGACTACTACCAACCTTGCACTATGGGGCCCCGGCGGCGGTCTCGAAAACGCACTTAAGGGTGAGATCGGTCGCTGGAGCCGTACAGGGCCTCCAGTAACAAAGAGGGAAGGTGTCTAAACGTGTGTGTGTATACTTGATTCCGGCCTCCACACAGAGACGGAGATATGATTCGCGTACGTGACCCAGCGATTTCCCCGTCGTTCCGCGGTTTTATCCATGACAAAAAACTAGATGTGTGAAAGTTCTGTGGGAAAGTCTGAAGTTAGGCGTTGCGCCGTATAGAGGAAAACTTTGGTACCTAAACTACGGTACTTGTTTGAACTTCCTCGGAAGCATCGTTTACCGAAGTTCTCAGATTCGTTCTGCTCGTCCACCCTGACTCATCCAAATGTGGACCAGGTTCAATGATACCTAAGGGTTCAATGATGCCACAATATTCCCAATTATTCTCCCAAATACTTTCCTCAATGGCGCAAAATGGATGATAAATGTTAACAATCAGAAAAGGTGCTCATCTGTAAACATCTTCATGACAGTGTGATGGGACTCGATACTGATCAAACCGCCCTTCAGCATGAATAAAAGGGATCAACGGTGGCCAGGCTTCACCATAGCATCAAATCGACATGTTCCGTTTGGTTTTCCTTCTCAGCTTCGTCGCTCTTTCCCTGGTAAGTCACCGAGAGATCGTGGTTACTCTCAAGACTGCTGGTTTGGTCCTTGTCATTCTGGCTAGGAAATCATATTTTGGTCCTGCAATTGAGGATAACATCTTCTGTTCAGAGCTGCGCTACAACGCCGGCGGCAGGGGGTGGCGCGGCAGGTGGTGGCGGTGCTGCTGGCGGTGGTGCTTCTTCTAAGAAGGCCAAACGTGAAGTTCACGAAGCAGAAGTGACTGTTGTCACCCACCAAAATTACGATCCGGAATTGACTAACTCGTACATGGGAGTGGTCAGATCCGCGGTAAGCAATTGGCTACCAATAGAGAGCACGAATCGTTCATAGAGCCGCTAATTGTCCCGTAATAGCTATTCTAAGAATTATTAAGCGCTAAAGAAGTTCAGAGTAACGCTATGATTCAGATTGAGCAGCATGCACAAGAAGAAGGACTGATAACCAACAACAACCTGATTGAAGAGAGACCGGGAAACGTCGGTGGGAAATTCGCAGTTACCTACGCCGTCGTCGATGTGGGATGTGAGCAGGTAAACGCCACAACGTTCTGAGAACCTGTCTCATTCTGGTTATAGACGACTGGGCGCTTCAGCGACGAATTTTCTTTCCATTGTGAGACTAGGCACAAAGCGCATACAAATTGACCCAAAGGATGTATTCTATAGCTTAACTCTTTAAATGGACATTCGCGCCTAAAGTGTGGGCGGAGTCGGTTGAAGCAGCGCACTTTTCTTATTGGTTCGCCCTCCTCCCGAAGAGGCAAAGAGGAGTACCCCATCAATGCCCCGCACCAACAGACTCCGTCCGCGATTGGGGCTCTGCCTCTTTCACTTTGTTAGTGAAACGTTAGCCGTGAGAGGCTTCATAGACTGACCAGTTTTACTGCAGCTCACAATGTGATGCGAGCGATAGTTTTCGGAGCTAAACTGGTTTGTAAATAATATAATTTTCCAATGTTCTATGTCCCCTAGGTGGGACCCCTTTCTCTGTTAAGGCCTAATCTACGAATATAATTTTTTCAGTTGAGAAGCTTCATCACGGGAGCGAAAGAGATGTCGCCGATTATCAACTTTGTCACGGTTGAATGCGACGGAAAAGAAACAGTTTTATAGCTTCGCACTTGGAACTGATTAAAATAAATCCTTCATCGGTCACATGGGTTTTTCCTTGAACGAAAAGTATTCGTTTGTTCCTTACTTTTTACGTTACTTGTTTCTCAAAAATGTTCTCGACAGGCTCGCTAAGAAGTTGATCGTGACTAGAGGATCGCTTCTACTGTGGTGATCTTTGAGCTATGCCGATGTCGGAAATAGCAGAAGTGAGATTTCGACGCACCCAATGACTGAATCTCGTGACCAGAGATGCCGTAGCACGGCTATCCTATGGAACCAAGCTACACTCTTTCAGCTACTCGCCTTAATCCTCTGAAGAATCCCTCTTTAGTCCGGCGGCGCTGGATCACAGTTGAAGGCGGAAAATCAGACCGGTGGTCATCGTAGAAGAAGAACAGAAGTGGGGTATCTGACTGCTTGCACCATACAATTGCAAAAATTCAATGCACGTAGTTCGCTCCAACCTTGCTCGAGACATGCCGTCATGATCTCTACTGCGAGGAAGAAGCACAACGGATTTTGCACCGTATGATCGGACTTGAGACACGCAACGGAAAGAGTCGTTGATGTGCACATGGAGTAAAGGTACCGCGATCTCTTCGAAGCTCGAAAAACAGGAACAACATCAGGAGGGGTTGGCTTGAATTTTAGCTCCTGAGTTTATGAAAAATTTGACTAGTGTCACATTCTACAGCAGATTCGAAATTCCGAGCGCAACTCTAACAAGATAATGACTGCATTTCCACCACTGAAGGATATCCACATACGGGGGACAAGCAAAGAACAACATGATGACTTCCATGAAAATGGTAATCTAGATCAGTCCTAAAAAACAACCACACACTGACATCTGTAGACATAGTTCAATCTGTAGAACTAGCATCAATCGGGTTTCAAGGGGTGAGAGAGCAATTTAACACGTTGCAGCCCGCGTGCATCGCCGGGTATGCACGTAGAAACTCCCACATCTGACATTTGTGCATCGCCGGGTATGCACATCTGTATTTTGCTCCCCAATGAACCTTTTTAATTCCTTTTTTACTATTTGACTTCTGCTATTCTTGTGAATCCGTAGAACATGTGGCATGTAGACATCTTCAATTTCAACGAATTTTGATTCTTTGAAAGGGCAAAATCAATGTCTAGAACTTCAAAAGTCAAAGCAGTCAGATTCCAATACACCCACCTAATGAATAAGTTATCATCGATCACGGAAATGTATGCAAATTCCGCTTCGAACCTTGAGCTTCGAATTCACCCCTCTCTTCCTGTAATATCCCAAATGACGCTGAAATGTAGACGGCATTCAAAAAAATTAAAGAAAAATACAAAAATACGTACGGAACAAAGGTAAACAATCATTGAACTTCTAACTATTTACTATCAAAATGAAAAAAGATCCATGATTCCGAAAGCTCGCGGGTCTTTTCAATGGATCGGCTGTATGGGTCCCGCAACGAAAACCCACAAAATGTCCCACATATGAGATTTGTGCATCGCCGAGTATGCACGCACGCAATACGGCCAATGGCACATGTGTGAAATGCGCCGAAATTGGCGCGGGCGTCAATGTGTTAATGGGCCAAACAGTGCAACCTCTAACGCAGCTGAAATAAGGCTATCGATATTCTGTGAAATATGTGCCATGAGTCCAGGAGATAGTCACTCCATCGAAAACTCAACGAACAAAGGATTATGAATCCCGAATGGACAACTCTTCCATGTTCTGGTCCATATTGTATTCAGCAGAAGGGGTATCTAGCAGTAGTTCCATTGTTCAGCACTAGAAGCAACCAATGCGCTCTGGGCGCGGCACTCCGAAACCATATACCCTCGCCTTCAAATGACCAGAAATTGTGCAATTGCAGAAATTGACGTGGCATTAACGTGGCATCGATTCAAGAACATCTTTGAGCACACGTGATGTCACCTTTTCATCGAGAATTTAGCCACGTGTGCCAATGCCACGTCAATTTCTGCAATTGCACAATTTCTGGTCATTTGAAGGCGAGGGTACGTCAATTTGCTCAAAACAATCTCGAGCGGCTATGCTCAACAGTGGTGGACAAATCAGTCTTGGATACGACAGGTGCCTTTGATGAGAACCATAGCTGCCTCGGAAAAAAATCGCTCCACCTGTTCCTAAGTCGTGCACGATGGTGCCCAATCCCAATTCTTGTTCATTACCAAGAAGCACTCATAGCATTTTCGCACGGAAGAGACATACGGACCGTCAACTGGCCATGTTCCATAAACGGTACTGTGTAGGCTCTGACAAAAGCTCGATGAAGGTCACAAGCATTACAGGAAATGTCGTACGTTACGCACTGCAGCCGAATAAACATGATTTGAAGGAAACAGAACGAAGTTCACAAGAATAACGCGTTATACTCCCTTGTCTTCGATAGACCATTATACATGATCCGGCTAGAAGTAGAATCAGTAATGCTATTCCTCCTGGAACCTTTGAAATCAAGTCATCCCACCCCCACTCAACTGCTATATGCTCGAAATAGAGTCACTGTCAGGAGGAGTGAAGGCCAGTTATCATCGGAGGACGAGGCTTGACACAAAAGGGCGGGGTTTGCCGGAAACTTGACAACTCCTTCTCTCAGACATATGCCTCGGTTCTAAGAAGTCCCGGAGACCGGGAAAAAGGTGGATGGAGGTAAGTGGAGGAGTGGAGGCTAACTGTCATTGGTAGGCCCGGGCATGACCAAAGTGGGCAGAGTTCGGTACCGAAGTTCTTCGTCCTTCTTCGAAATTATTCACTTCTATTATTCCATTTTATAGTTTGGCGGCAAAACCTTTGGTGTATCCTCCGCACACCATTGAGAATTCACTTCCTTTCCTTCGCCCACTTTACAAAGTTTCGTAGATAACTGTGCCCACTTTGGACATGTCGTCCACTAATAGCAGTTGGCTTCCACTCTTCCACCCACCTCTATCCATCCTGTTTCCCGGCCCCGGGACTTTATAGAACCGAGTTGTAGGTCTGAGAGAGGGAGCTATCAAGTTTCAGGTAAACTCCGCCCACTTTGGTAAAGCCTCATCCACTGACGACAGCTGGCCTCCACTCCTTAACCTATCACCGTCTTGTTGGAACCGAGTTATGAATTTCCCGCAAACTCCGCCCACTTTGGTGCACGCTCCACCCACCAATAGCAGCTGTCCTCCCGTGCGTTGTCGGACTCGACCCACTCTTTTCCCGGTCTCCTGGGACTTCTCGGAACTAAATTATAAGTTTAGGGCAAACTCCGCCCACGTTGGTGCACGTCCCACCCACCAAAAGCAGTTGACCATCAAGTTTCAGGTAAACTCCGCCCACTTTGGTAAAGCCCCATCCACCGACGACAGCTAGCCTCCACTCCTCCACCTACTTCCGTCTTGTTGGGGCCGAGTTATGAATTTCTTCCATTGACGGACTCGATTCACTTTTTTTCGGTCTATATGGACTTCTTGGACCGAGTTATGAATTTTCGTCGCAACTCCGCCCACTTTGGTCATGCCCCGCCCACCGATGACAGCTGGCCTCCACTCCTCCACCCACCTCTATCCACCTTTTTCCCGGCCTCCGGGACTTCTTGGAGCCGAGTTATGAATTTTCGTCGCAAACTCCGCCCACTTTGGTCAAGCCCCGCCCACCAATGACAGCTGGCCTCCACTCCTCCACCCACCTCCATCCACCTTTTTCCCGGTCTCCGGGACTTCTTGGAACCGAGTTATAGGTCTGAGCGAAGGAGTTGTCAAGTTTCCGGCAAACTCCGCCCACTTTGGTCAAGCCCCGCCCACCGATGACAGCTGGCCTCCACTCCTCCACCCACCTCCATCCACCTTTTTCCCGGCCTCCGGGACTTCTTGGAGCCGAGTTATGAATTTTCCTCGCAAACTCCGCCCACCGTTGATAGATGGCCCCCAGTCCTCAACTGTAAGGAGACTTCCGAGGGGTGTCCTATGATTTTGCAACGACTACAAAACTAAAAAAATTGTCTAAAAATACGGAAAACTATTCGGATGATCTGGCTACTTGTTTGTATAGGTTTTTTATAGAGGCGGTTCTGATTCTACCAGTTGCGATAGACGGCTTTTTCTAGAAGCCGAGATATTCATAGTTTTTTGCAGCGCACTGTACGTTAGACCGCCGCTAGATGTAACGTGCCAGAGCCCTAAGTGAGTTCAATTTGAGGACTGACGTAAGGAGATGTTGTTATTTCACTAGTTTTGAGAACTGCATGAAATTTGGTTTCATTAGGAAGAAGACATTGTACCCTCTCACACAGAAAAGGAGATGAAAATGGAGCGACTCGGAAAAAAGTGGATATGACCGCGCGCGCACGCGGTCCTCATAATTTTGGACCACCCTGTAGATAAGCTAAGGTCGTTTCGGTGGGAAGAACAGCTAACTCTTGTGAAAACAGTGGATGTGGCTAACATTGCTCGACAAATGGATGAACTGGTTGCCACTACCTTGGGGAAATTTTCGAGCAGTTAGAAATAAACAAATAAAATTGCATTTGTTTGCA